ATCATGCGTTTTGTGCAATTCAGCCCATCGAACGATTGTCTATTAATGATTTTCACTGCTTTGTACATTTGTCTATGCAAAAAATAGTTCAACAACTGGAAACTAGTTAAAAATTTCACGCACCAGCGCATGAAAGCTGAATTCGAAACCTTGAAGGGCGAACATCCTTCCGTGATTCCCGAGTTGATAGTCTAACCGCCTAAATTCTTACGAGGCCGCAGGTGATACTCAACAGTGAGGGAACGCTGAATTTGAACAGGCAAAGTTGCGCGTGGGCAGCGGGTCATTACCCTAAAATTTCAACCTCCTAGACTCGGTGGTTCCCGAGATATTAATTTACCGGTAAAAAACTTTTACGGGGACGTACGTGTTACCCGCGGGTACGGGAAGGCTGAATTTAAATTTGCCGCGTTACCCGTTGGCTGGGAACACTATACCAAAATTTCAGCCGCCTAGGTTTCCGAGTTGAAAGTGCGGGATAAATGTGGGACATACACACAAACACACAGACGCAAACAACCCCGTGACAATATGCGTTTTGTAACGCCGTTACACAGCACAAAACGCATAATAAACTATAAACAAATAAACTATTCACATTATAAGTAAATAATAAACTATTCAAACCATAAATAAATAATAAACTATTCACATTTTCCTTTCTTATTTCCTTACATCTTTCATAAACATATACCAACTAAAATTAAAATTAAAGTAATATTTCAAAAAAACCTGAATTTTTAAAACTTCCATGTGTTTCATTCTGCAATCTTTTAACAAATACTGTTAATGTCCAAGTCAAAAGCCAAAACCCCTCTCGTTTTCACTCTCTATAAAAGATTGAAAGAAATCGAAAATGGTCCCCACATGATAAAAAATACCGACAGTAACCACTCGCTGGTAAGGCTGCCAAAAGCTTCGCTCTTTTGACAGTTGCTCATACCAATAATCAGACAGAGGTATCGCAAAAAACGGAATTTATCATGGGCTTATTTCAAAAAGTATTTGTCAAATACAAGATTAATGGGATCAGCGTAACTTACGAATGATGCTTTTCCACTTCTCGTATTGCTACTTTCCTCTTATCATGATAACGCTTTGCAATTGTTTCTGCTATTCCATGTGCTAATTTCTCTCGGATCGGAATATCAGGAATCTGAAAATCCTAATTTGGAAACTTTGTAATACAAGTAAATTAGTTCTGTATTCCTACAGTTTCAGAAATCAGGAAATAACTGAAAAGAAACCACAATTTTGACGAGTACCAGCAACAAAAAAAAAAAGAAATTTAAGCAGAATTTGCAGATCTTCCAAACTTTGCGCAAGGAGTTCATCCACTTTTCCACTTTTTCATTTTCCCTTTTTTGCAATATGAATCAGTTTCTGGTCATAGACAACAATCTAATCTCAGACCTTTTTTCCATTACAGAACAACAGCATTGCCTACAACGGCCTGTAAAATCCCTAAAAGACGATTATGAATTGTCATTAAAGAAGCGTGATCTTTTTATACCGGGGCAGAGGACCCATGTTTCAGCTCAGAACTTTTCCTAGTTGATTTCTTTCTGGTGCAAATATTCTCATAATTTCCGGTTTTTTTTTGTTTAAATGTGGCAAACTGCATAAGGAAGACATGAGTAAACCTCCAAAATCCGTGCCTGAGCTAAGATTTTATAACTATTACAATCATAAACAAAGTAATCAAGAAGACTTTCGCACACACAAAAAGTAGAGACATATCTTGGAGCCGGCGAAAGGCACAATAAATGCAAATCTGGCTCAACTGTTCAAAATGAGCATTTTTTGCGAAAACATCACTTTTTCCTGACTTAGCCACTTAAACCGGTTTCTAAATTCCTTGCTTTTCAACGCCATCCAACAATCATTTTGCATTTCTGTCTCTTCCTGTTCCCAGACCCGTAGCCCAAATGAATGTCTCTGAGGTGTATTTGGCTCCAAGCGATCTTGTTTTCCCACCCGTTCCTGGGTCTTTGAAAGTTTTTCCACAGAAGAAGTTAGGCGACCAAC